CCTTCTTCACTGTGCCCCAGCTTCCTTGCCAACCTCAGCTCACTCCGAGTGTTAACATTTTTTCTGACACTGTTCTTACAGGACTATGCTATGCTTTTACATTTATCATTTACTTGTTTCCACTGTCTACATAAATTTTTCTAAAAATACAAGTTAGTTAGCCAGATTCCTGTGCATTCACAATTTTGTCTGTAGACAACTTACAACTCCTCAGTGTCTCCTGGATCTCATTCTTAAGGGTCTCCCATACCACCTGGAACTACCTTTGCCTATGTGATTTCTGAACCCACTGAGATATTCTCCAAAAACTTACAGATGCTTATCAAACTATATGCAGTTTTACTCTCCTCTAACAAAAGCTATAAGATGGAATGGCCCCATCTCCCCCAAATTTCTCATCATTTCTACTCAACCAATGAGTTCCTCCTTGTCATGCCTCTTCACTGGCTGTGTCCTAAGTCTTGAAGGCTCTCCCTTCTCTCCTCCAACTCCTACCTTTCCTAGAAAGAAGCCTTTTCCTAAACCACTGCCACCTTCCCTCTACCCCTATTGCTAAGGCCTTTCCTCCAAGATTCCCTGCCATCTACTCTGTGTGCATCTTGTATGTATCTGTTTATGTGGTTTCTCTTCCATAGACTGAGGGATTCGTGGGGGCAGGAGCAGTGTTTCTGCCATTCTTTGTATCCCCTGCATTTGGCACAACAGCTGGCTGTAAACAACATTTTAAGTGAGTGATCTTTAAAAAAATTTTTTGCTAAGTTTCTGAGAATCTGGGAAAAATTAAGTGGATCAGAATTAGATCAGTTGCTCCACCTTTGGAAAGATGGAAATAAAGCAAACCAGTAAAGTCTTAGCTGCTCCAGTTTTCTGGCAGAGAGAAAGAGAGAGAAAGCAAGAGAGACAGAGAGCTCCAGCAACTAGCTGGGCAATTAAAGCCTTCGATTCCTATTACACAGGCAAGCTCACAACAGGTTTACTCAATGCCTTCTCAAATTCCTCTTCTGTCCAGGTGGTTTGTTGTCCACTGTAATGATACTATTGCTTCTATCTCAATTAATCTTCACCAACCTTCCCCAGATTCCCGTTTCTGGATTTCCTCACATGAATATACTATCCAATTAGCTCTCCCTTTACTTACCTGTTTCTTCTGAATTTAGTGCCCCCCTTCTTCCCAGAGCCATATTCCAGTTATGAGTTCTTCCCACCACTATTACACAAATGGAGGACAAATCTACCCCCTCGGCATAAGGATCCTTAGTTAACGTTCATTTTGCTTGTTATATACACACACAAATGCACAAAGTATGTGTAAAGTTGAGCTCATGGATTTTATCACTAATTCCTTTCTTGGATTTTGTCTCCTGTCTCTGGATGTTTTTGCTGTCACTCTTCCTAATTACAGCTACTGTCTAAGGTTCTTAGCTTTGTAGATACCTACACATAAACAGTTTCCCCCTTGGAGAACAAGCAACCATTTCTGTCTCACAACCTCTAGCTCTGTCTTTGGCAAGTATCTCCTATCCAACTGCAGTGACTGACAATAGAAATTCAAGCAAAAATAAGTGATGTGATAAGTTATTTGTAATTTTAATTTGTAAAGTAATAGAGGAGAAAAATCTGCATTGGGAAAAAATGAAAGGGAGTCTAATTTAAAATTTTTAAACTTACTAAGAAATGCAAGACAAGCTCAAAGTGATTGTGACAGAAATTGAGAACCAAACAGCCAAATATCCCCTACACAAGGTTAGGTTGAAAAAAGGAAATAAAAATTATTACAACTATTCAACTTCATTTATAGATTTAATGCAGGATCAAAATAATGGACTACTTCATAGTATTATATAAAGTAATACTAACATTCAAATGGAACAAAGTGGGAAGAGAGAGAATACTGAGAGAATTATAAAAAGAAATGAAGTGATTATAGTATCAATCAGTATTTAAGATTTCTTATCCTAAGATAAAATACAAACAAAATAATGAAAAAAGACAATCCTGAAATAGGATACCATATTCTATTAATTACTAGTTTACTGAGACAATAGGAGCCATGTCGTAAGTTCCCTCTTCTACCCTATTCTATGCCTCATAATCCCACTTCACCAACCTCCCCTCTCTTCTCCTTACTAAAGGAAGAAGGTAAGTCAGAAACCTGTAGTTATACTTCTTCCCAAACATCTGGAAGGCTAGCAGCCATTTAAAAATTCCTTTCCCCTAAATCTAGGCAGGCAAGGGAGACTAGGGCAAAACCCCTTAACCGATCACATGAAAACTACCCGGCCATTTCAGTTGACCTCAAGCCCAATGGGCCAAATGTTGTCTAGCAGGCATATCATATGACAAGTGACTGAAATAAAACAATGTTTAGCCTATTAAAAAATAAGACTTAGGTGGGGACGAGATAGCTAATTTTTGTGTTTAAAAGACCCCTGAGCTGAGGTCTTACAGTAAGTCCCTCAAATATTTATTAAGTTGGACTGAGGTAGGATTTGGAATCAGAAGGGACTTTGGAGGCCACCAAGTCTTTCATTTTACAGAGAAGCGAAGCCACTCGCCCTAAGTCTCAGAGCCAAGAAGTAAAAGAGCTGGGGTCCAACTATAAAGCCATGGCTCTCTTCACTGTCCTGTACTTGGTTGTTAGATCAGACCTTAGCTAACATATAATCCCAAGCCAAGCCTGTGCTTAAGTTCAATATTCTCCTACATAACATAGTGCATGGGCCCTTGTGACAACTACTTTGCCCATTTCTAAGCTAATTTACAAGTGGAACCTGTGTTCCGGATGAATGCAAATACTAGATACATAGGGCATTATTATATACAAGTCTGCCAATTTAAAAACCCATCAACAGAAAAATCTCACATTTGTATATGGACTGCTTTATAATTAAATGATGAAGTCAAATTAATTGGTTAGGAGGACCAAAATTTTGATAAGTTAGTCTATACATTAATTACATCCAAATATTGGCTATCAATTAGTTCCATAAGATAACGAGATTTTATAAGATATTCTATTTTTAAAAGTAAAGTGATTAAATTGAACATTTTCATACTCAAGAATACACTTTAAGGGTGTTATAACAGTTTTGATTTCATTAGCCAATTAACAATTTAGATTTCAGAAGAATTAAAAAAGAATCTATTAAGTAGATCTCTGGACAGACTTATATTGCTAAAATTACTAAGTTAAACTGACATATTTCAAAATACATTGGATCAACTCTTTTTACCTACATCTATTTGTGACAAAAAATTCCTTGCTTAATTCAGAGACAACAGAATGTGACAAGTACAAATTATATTAAATGTTATAGTTTAGAAATAGCACTTTAGGGGCGGCTAGGTGGTGCAGTGGATAGAGCACCAGCCCTGAAGTCAGGAGGACCTGAGTTCAAATCTGGCCTCGGACCAAACACTTGACACTTACTAGCTGTGTGACCCTGGGCAAGTCACTTAATCTCAAATGCCTTAAAAAAATTTTTTTAAAAATAGCACTTTAGAGTTGGCCCTTAAAACACAGAAAACGTGGGTGCATTTACACCTATCCATTACTACATGCAGTCGACAGGTACTATGAAATATCTGATTTTCTGTTTAAGGATATCAATGTGCAGTTATTATTTATTTAGTTTGGAAACTAAATATAAGGCCTGCATAAAAGCAAATAAAATAAATTTAGGATAGGAAGCTATCCTAATAGACAACTTTATAGTCACTGTTTATATAAGGATTTCCATAAAAGCATGCAGATATCACAAAGCTAATTTCATGTGAATTTTAAGTGTGCAGAAAGGCCAGTTGGGACTTCAGCAGGTGGCAGGTCTACATATTAGTTGTTAACGTATGATAGTGTAGTCACAGGAGTCTGTATCAAGTTTTATTTTTTTATTTTTATTTTTTTGCTTTTAGGCAATTGGGGTTAAGTGACTTGCCCAGGGTCACACAGCTAGTAAGTGTCAAGTGTTTGGTCTGAGGCTGGATTTGAACTCAGGTACTCCTGACTTCAGGGCCAGTGCTCTATCCATTGCACCACCAATGAAACAGTTCTCAGAGGTGAGCCAGATACTAAATTAACAAGGCTATCCATCCAATATATTCTAAACTGTTGACAATTTAACAGCACCTCCTCAAAATGCCAAATATTATTTCCCGTGTATCAGAAATTGCTCCTCTTGAACAAGATATTTAATGATAGTGTAGTTGTAGATTTCAGCTTTTCAAAAACAGAACTTAACTTTCTTCTCTTTTGAGACAATTTTAAACTCTGAGTATAAAACCTAGTTAATCTGAAAATAAATTATAAAAGAAATAAAGGAGTTTAATGTAACCGATTTTTTTAAAACCTAACAGTAGGGTAAGGGAATGTCTAAATTCTACCAGCATTCTTTTTCTCAAACAAAAAAACCCATCCAAGGCTGATAAACCACGTAATTACCTATGCTACCAGGCACTATTTCTAGCCTTCATTTTACTCTTTTAAAAAAAGTAATTACATAGTAATTTCAATTCCAACAACTTTTCCTCCACTCCTGGCAAAAATTCTTTAAAGACTCTATGCTTTTTAAACTATAAATGTGGATTAAAAAAAATACTAGCATCTCTCCGCACTTAAGCGACACTCTTGCTGTTTTTCTTCCTTTCCACAGAATGCCCTGCTCACTGAAAGCTTAAGACATCTCACCTTAAAAGCTTGGCCACAAAGATAAGAGTTGATCCCATTAAGACTAAAGGATGACCACAGAGACAATGCAGCCTTCCATTAACGACACAGCATATTTTACTTCCACATTCCCCCTGAAGCAGACAACAGTCTACCTTCTCTATATGTTACAACCCTACAACAATAAACCCCAGTTCTCCTTCAACTCGAAGTTCTAGTGTAATTCCCAATGATGAAAAACTGGGTTCACGCAAACTCAGGTCTTCCAGATCTAACAGTCTTCATCAGAAGAATTCCCAGTCAGTTCCCACATTCCTTCCCAGTTCCTTATACTCACTTGCAGCCTGACAATGAAACCGGAATCCTCGTGGTACCTCACCTACAATAAACCAGAGAAAACAAAGTATTCAATTAACAGAAATGGACACACTGTAGGGATGCTGTAAATAACTATATTATAATGTGATATTAAAACTGGGTAATCTTCACTATTATGTCTATTAACTCTACTTTCATAGCCTAACAAGATTCAGTTATGTAGGTTATAAAAAAAAAAACCCTTTTACTTCAGCTTGTGGTCTAGTGTTTTTCTATATTTTTAGGAAAACAGCCACAAGGATAGCCAACCAAGCAACAGTTACCTACTTGTGCTTAACATCCCCAATTAAGCCTGAGAACAGTCGATTCCTCCATGTTCTAAGACAAAGCTGACACTCATCCCCATCCTTCCAATGTACTCTCCTCCCTTGGCACCTAATTCCTCTTCCCCACCTACCTGCCCACTTCTGTTTCCTTTGCTGAATCATCATCATCATCTTCCTCCCACCCATTAAATAAGGCTTTTCTCTAGGGCTCTGTCCCAGGTCCTCTACTTTCCATGAGGTCTTTGATGCTAGGTTCTAACTCTAGACACCATTCTTAATCTTCCCCCTGAATTTTAATCCTGTCTTTAGCCTGCTAAACTTCTCTACTTAAGCATCCCATAGACATGTTAAACTCTCCTTCTCCCTTAAGCCCACTCTACCATGCCTATTTCTGTTCAGGTGACTGGACCCAGATGGCTCCAGAAGAGACAGTTCAGGTTGGTGACCTTGCACAGCCCTGTCACTGGTCCTCTTCAAGGACAAAGGACAAACAACAACAACCAGGGTACCACCAACTTAGCTCACAATGTTATGGTCATCCTGACTCTTCCCTCTTGCCCACCCCACAGCCAGTCAGTTGATGCCACCTCTATACTATATCTTCCATAAGACCCCTTCTTTCTACCTACAGGCCCTTCCTTCCCTCAGTTTAGGCCCTGACCACTTCTGCAAGAGCCTCCTAACTGGCCTCCCTACTCTAACCTCTTCCTCCTTTAACCATCTACCCTCCACAGAGCTACCAAGTTAACATTCCTAAAGCAGCTGTATCTGGCCATATTACTCACATGCTAAAATGGTTCCCATGGCTTCTTATTGCCTCTAGATAAAGAGACAAACTCCTACTATTGACTCTAAGTCTGGTTCCAACTTTGACTGAGAACACAATAATCTTGCCCATAAGGTCTGTTCCAAAAAAAACCGGACGACCTGTCCTATGTAATGGTCAATTTCCCACCTCTACTCCCTCACAAATTTCCCCTCTGCCTCGGAACAGTCACTTCCTGACCTCTGCCTTTTGAGATCCCTATGTTCCTTTGAGAACTGCTCCAGATCCTCCCACTTCTTACAGCACCCCCAATTACATATTTACTTAGGCTCACATGTTGCTTCCCCATTCCATGCACTGTAAGCCCCCTGAGGGCAGGGACGTTTTTGGGGGGATCACCCCAGGGCCTATGACTGGATGTGGTACACAATATATACTTAGAGATCTTTCTCAGGGGCAGCTAGGTGGCGGAGTAGATAGAGCACCAGCCCTGAAGTCAGGAGGACCTGAGCTCAAATCTGGCCTCAGACCAAACACTTGACACTTACCAGCTGTGTGACCCTGGACAAGTCACCTAACCCCAACTGCCTAAAAAAGACAAAAAAAAATCTTTCTCAAATTGAAGGCTAGCTTATACACTCTGTGCCCATCTCAGCGAGAGATCACACAGAATTTTAAGAGTTGAAGGCTTCACAGAAGCCATGTACTCTGACCAATATGTGAACTCCAAACCCCTCTAGGACATCCCCACAAGTGGCTGCCCAGCCTCCGCTTTCAGACCGCTAGTGTCCCAAGACAGCTCATCTGACACAGCCCTAATTGTTACGAATTTCTTTTGTCACATCAAGCTTACTAATCTCGCTTCAATGCTACTTCCACCCTCTGCTCTTCAGGGCTAAGGACAAGTCATCTTTCTTTCACATGTTGGCCCCTTGAAGAGAGCTGTCATCCTGACTCAAGGGGAAAACTGGCATCTTCAAGCAATTGCCTGTGCACACGCACATTTCTACTCCATATTTTTCTCCTTTGGCTTTACTTCTCTTCTGTCTCCCTAGTCCTCCCAAAAATCTCATACCCCTAGGCGTTTCCATCCAGTTGCTCTGCCTCATCCACCCATCTCTCACTATATCTAGTTAAGCAGCTGGCAGCAGCAGCAAGGAAAGGAAGGCTTGAGGACATAGAAAAGCCTTACATGCAAGGCCCCAAAGAAGGCATGGGCATCAGAGCAACCTTGCATAGCATCTGTTGCTTCCTCTGGCTTTGCTACTGTCCACTGTACAGCCTAAATCTGAAGCCAAGACACTGCCCCTTGGACTAGCCCTCCTGCAGCTGTATTACCTACTCAGAGACCCCTTAGAGGTCTAGTACTCCAAGACCCAGGTGTCACCACCTAACTTCAAAACTCCTAACCATTTCCTTTTTCAACTGCTACCAAACTTTTAAAAGAATCCTCATAGTTTTTGAGAAAACTAAAATGTATGGGCTTGTCAATTCTACCTCTCATTCAAGAAAGCACACCATCACTCGGTTCCACAAGCATTTATTAAGCATCTACTCTACACAAGGCACTGGGTGAGCTGGAAACAAAGAAAATGAAAAATAAGCCTGGCTCTCATGATGCTGGGGGCTATAATATATAAACAGGCAAGTAAAGAAAATTTGAAGAGAGAAAGCACTAATTACTAAGGGGACTGGAAAACCCTTCCTTTGAAATCAGTGCCCGAGTTGAGGCTTAAAAAGCTCGACATTCCAAGAGGCAAGGGGAAAGTCTATTCTATGTGTGGGAGACAGCCTGTGCAAATGCCTGCTAACAAGAGAAGGAAATTTGAAAATCAAGCTACCTAATTTGGCTGAACGTTGAGTCCACAAAGAAGAACGATATGAAATGTATCTGGAAAGGGCCAAGTTTTAAATGGCCTTAAATACCAAGTTGGAAAATGTTATTTCTTCTTGGAGGTAGAATCTCAAGGTTGAAAGGGACCTCCCCAAAGGTCACCCAGCTAACACATTTATTTAAACCAATACATGAATTAGAAACCACTCTACAAAACACCCAGAGTGGTCAGGCTTTGTTTCAAGGCAATAGGGAGCCACTTAAAATTCGTGAGCAGGCCAATAACATGGTCAGACCAATCTATGCTTTAGATAATTTTGGTTGCTGTTGTTTGTCCTTCATTCTGGAAGAGGACCATGACATCAGTAAGATGATGCCATGACTTGCAAGTGAAGTGAATTTAAGTGAAGCTGGGCTGTGCAAAGCCACAAGCCTCATTCCTCCGGAGCCATCTGGGTCCAGTGACAAGATACAGACCAACTAATTTTGGCAGTCATGTGGAGAATGGTGTGGAGAGAGAGGCAGAAAGTATAGAAACCAATTAGGAGACTATTGCAATAAGCAAAGAAAGAAGAGATAAAAGCTAGAATGATATCGGTAGCCATGTAGGTGGAAAAAGGGGACAGATACCAAAAAATGTCACGTGAGCAGAACTGGCAACCAAGGAGAGAACTCTGGTAACTCAGAGGCTGTGAAGCTGAATGATCATAAGGCTAGTGGTACTAGGAGAAATCGAGAAGTTCAGAGGTAGGACAGATTTAGGGGGTGTATGAAAGAGATGAAGGATTCCATCAGGACACAGTGAGTTTGAGATGCCTATGGGGAATTCTGGGAAATATGATGAGCAGGCACTTGATATGGGATTGAACATCAGCTTCCTGCAAGTCACAACTCTTAGAACTGAGGAGACCATGAAGAAGGCATACAGAGAAAAGAGGACCCAGGACAGAAGCCAAAGGATCCACATTTAGTGGAGGGACAGACATGGAAGATGAACTAACAAAGAAGGTCAAATATGGAGGAGGATAACTAGTCTAAAATGTCATGAACAAAAGGGAGGAAAGTAACTAATACACGTTACTTAATCTTGTATTACTAAGTCTTACAAGCTGCAGACCTTTCTGGCCCTTGGATTTAATAACAAAGAGATCGTTGTCAGCTTAGAAGAAAACGATTTCAACTCATCGGTGGGATCCGAAGTCAAGTTTTGAGGATTTGAGAACCAGGTATAAGGTGAAGTAAAAGCAATATGCTTTCAGTGGATTTCTCCTCAGTTTAGAAAGGAAAAGGAAAATCACATATGACAATAGTTTGAGGGGATTTCAGGGTTAAATGAAGGGTTTTCTCTTTTAAAGAATGGGAGACACCTGAGAATGTCTGTAGGCAGCTAACAAAGGGCCAGTTTCATAAGGGGGCACTGAAGATGAGAAGGGATAATCAAAGGGGTAAGGTCTGGAATTAAGGGTACAAACAGATAGGTTGACCTTGGCAAAGGGAAAGGCAAATTTCATGATTTTCACAATCAGGCTAAGCAAAACACACCCCACACCCTGGGTTATGCTACATTTCAGGAGCCTGTCATCTGAACATAAATACATTTAAGATGGCCTACCTCCTCTCCTACCTATTCCATACAGTTACTCACCCGGGTCTATAAATCGGTGGAATTCAGCCACAATTCCTTCCTGAAGTGAATATTTGATACAGCCAATTTCACAAGGGAGGAAGCGCTGTTCACAGTGAGGAGGTAGCTCTCCGTGGCTAAAAATGTTCAAAAAGTAAAAAAAACTTCCAAGCACAGCTGAAAGAATAACATGAGTCAAAAAGTTTAAATTAGTAGATAAGTCCCTCAAGTATGCCCTTTCTCCAAAGCTACCACTCTAGGTCGTAATTCAAGTGCTGAACACCTCTCACTTGTCTTTTTCCTTCACTTCTAACGCTTAACTGAAAATCCCAGTTCTCTAGATTCCAGCTTATGACTGCCATATACATGATCAATTTAACAGTTAAATATTTGATCAGTTTTAAAGATTCCCAAGATGATTAGCCTTGCTGCTGGAGATAACAGTAATTCAACAACTGGAAAGCCAGTCAGACACAGAATTGGGGTTCAAATTTACATAAGCTGAGCTCATAAAATGCCTGAATTTTGCTTGTGAAAGATGTAACTCAGCACTCTAAAACTTGTGCAGGTTATAATCTACATTCAATGAATGAAAATAGATTGTTATGGAAACAAGGCCTAATCAGGCCTAACCAGCAAAGAGTAACTATGCTGTAAAAGTTTTTAAAGCCAGCTGACATTTTACAGAGCTTTCAGGCTTATAAAGTACTAGATGTATAGTCTCACTTGGGCCTCATGACAACTTTATGAGGTCCAAATACTATAAGCATCATTCCTGTTTTACAAATGAGGATACAAAGGTTAAAGCAGCTTATTTAGAAACACACAAGTGATTAAGTGTTGGAAAGAGGTCTCTCCTACCATACTGCTTCTCAACTTCATACCCACTTTTCTGCTTGGTTCTTACCCTCTCCTCCCCATTTATCCGCAAATCTAGAGGAGGCAAATGGTGGAAAGCATACCTGCTATATCCTTATTTACCACATTAGCCACACCTCTGTTCAAGTACAACAATTCTTGAAAGCCAAAGCCAGGACCTTGATCGTGTTCTGAACAGAGATGGGCAGTGAGTAGGTGGACACACCTGTGGGCTGGCAGATACAAATCCTGGCTCTGCTACTCTAATACCTATGTGACTTTGGACAAGTTACTCAATCTCTCTGGGCCTCAGTTTCCTTATCTGTAAAATGAGGGCGTTGAACTAGCTAATCTCTAAGGACTCCTCTAGCTCAATGATCTTAAGAAAGAAAACGTAGCTATAACACTTGGTATGCTATTTCAAAAATCCATCTCTACAGGGCAGCTAGGTGGCGCAGTGCATAAAGCACCGGCCCTGAAGTCAGGAGGACCTGAGTTCAAATCTGGCCTCAGACCCAACACTTGACACTTACTAGCTGAGTGACCTTGGGCAAGTCACTTAACCCCAATTGCCTAAAAGCCAAAAAAAAAAACCCACCACAAACAAAAATCCCTCTCTACCTTTACAGCTTGTATATGTGTTTTTAAAGAACTATAAAGTAAGGAAAACCCGAGTTCAAATCTGATCTCAGACACTTACTAGCTGTGTGATTTGGGTAAGTCACTTAAGCTCTGTCTACCTTAATCCACTGGAGAAGGAAATGGCAAACCACTCCAGCATCTTTGCCAAGAAAACCCCATGGATAGCATTGGTATGCTATGGTCCACAGGGTCACGATGAGTCGGACATGAATGAACAACATAAACAGTTTATGTCACCTAAGGTAACAGTTAGGAAGGAAGCCCCATTATTCTTGGCCATCATCATTTTTAGCCAGAAAGAACTATGGAGTTCAGCCAATGCATACCCAAGTCTGTATTTGCTCAACATGCTTGCTCAAAGTACTGTTAGAACATTTTTACTAATTCATCCATTGGTCTAGTTATCTCCTTCGGAAGTACCCAAAATATATTAGCATGACTGTACCTTGATCACTCTTCAAAGACAGGCTTGAGACATCTGGAAGTGAAACATTCTGAGTCTGCACAGGGGGAAACTGGTTCACTGATTCTAGGAGTGTTGTAGGAACAAGTTTCTAGGTAAGAAGAGACAATTAATCAAATTAATATATATTCATACAGCTTCACTATGCAACAAGCCCTGTGTTAGGTGCAGTAATAATATCATAAGCTTAGCCAAAGAATTACCAAAATTTGCTCTGTATCTGCAGCTCTGAAACAACACTGAGTGCATTAACAAAGAAATAACTTGATCTGCAGTGACCAGAGTAAGAGGACAGCAAAACCTGGAAATTAACAGTGTTTAAGAGATACAGTAGAAATATTACTACTTAAGGATACAAAGAAATAAAAATCCAAAAAATTCCATATTCCTCGACATAAAGCTGGAGCACAATTTTTACTTAGTATCAAAAAATACCCCAAACTTCCAGGCTTACAAACTATACTTACAAACTATAAACTGACGTCTCCCAGGCTCATTACTTTGTTTGCTATCATCATGTCTGCAACTAGTCCTACTTGCATAATTAAAAATAAAACAAGTCTCAATTTTAGAAATAAGGGGCCCACGCCTCAGAGTCCAGTTTGTCTTTAAGGACCCCAGAAACCATCCTTAGTCCGGCCGAGTTCTTTCCCTTACTGACCAGGGTTTCTTAACTGCGGGTCACCCTAAAAATAACCTCAGGTCAATGACTATCACAAGACAAACACGGGCAATGCCGACGGCCTTGTTGATTTTTAAAACGAGAAATCAGGAGACCACCCATGAAACAGCCGTGCTTTCCTCGAGGCAAAGCCCCCTGCCACCCTCCGTCCTAACGGGGGCTGCTCCTTTGCCCCCAGTTTTACCTGCTTCCCAGGTGGCGAAGGGACCTTCCCCTGAGTTGCTTTCCACTCCCGAGCCATTTCTGCATACTTCTCTTTCTCCTCTTCCCGCAAGAGCTTGAGGAGGGACGGGCCGGGAGAGAGCGGGGAGGGGGCGGGAAGGGAGAAAGGCAAGAAAAACGGACAATTACCCCAAACCCGCAAGCAAGCACGGTGGGCCTCGCCCTCCCCACGGGCCTCCCGCTCGGGGAGAGGGGGCGCGGCCGGCCGGCCCCTGCGCGTCCCGCCCCGCCCGGAGCCCCCCAACCCCCGCTCCAGGACCGCCCCCTCACCCCCCAGTCGGAGGAGCAGAAGGGGATGGCGTCCGCCACGCGGGTGACGGGCAGGCCGCGGCGCCGCAGCTCCGGCATCTTCTCCAGCACGAAGAAGTAGTAGGCGTTCCGGCTGGCCCTGCGGTTCGGCATGGCAGGAGGGCGGGCGGGCGGTGAGGCGGGCGGCCGAGCAGGGCAGGAAGGCGGCGGACCAGCGCAGCCTCGAGCCAGCGACACCACGGGCCGCCAGGCGCCACTCCCGGGCTCCCGCCCTTAGTAACAGCAGAACGCAGGGCCCGGCCGCCCCTCTCGGCCAATGGGAAGGCGGCGGCGCGCAGCTCGCCTACAAGAGCACCGTGTACCGGGCCGGCGGCCCGAGGATGGCGTTCCAATTGGCTGCGAGGGAGGCGGGGGCGGGGCCTGAGGGATGGATAAAGGCCGGCCTGGCCGGCTGGGTAGCACGTGGCCCAGCGAGTTAATTATTTTGTGCGCGTTTGTCAGGTGCGGGCGGGGGAGGTGCGCCCCTGGCTGGGCTGGGGACTTTATAAGGAGGCTCCCCGCTGAGCGCCCTGAACTGAGAAACGTGGAGCCGCCCCAGAGGTTCTACTGTACAGAATCCTAGGGCGGCTGCCGGGTCCATCCTGGAACAAGGTCCTTCGCCTAGTCAGGTGACCGCTGGGGCCCTGATCGTGAGTGCAGGGGGCCCTGAGTGCTCCTTCAGCACTGGGCCAGCGACAGGGCTTCTAAGAACCAGCCGGCATCCTGGGACCATGCATCCAGGCAGCTGGGTGCTGGTGAAGGTTTAATAACCGGCTCTCTGAGGGGGAGAAAAAAGTACCCAGGATACCCCGCATTATTAACAATTTGTCCATCGCTTTAAGTCTAGACAATCAGCAAAGCAATAAAACATGAAAGGCTTGCCAATTTACCGATGTAGCTCTCGCTAAAAATTTAACCATCAGCTGGCTCCAGCACACTCCTGTCTCCAGGTGACAAGTTTCAGGGCCAAAGCAATTAATAAAATCTGTCAGCTGATGGAGAAGGTAGGAGTGAAAGGATACCTCTTCCATCAAGGATCTTTGGAAGCAAAGTAGATTTGCATGGTACTTTTTGCAAAATAACCAGGAGCCAATGATTCCAAAGGTCTTTTGGATGTGAACTGGCTGACCTGTTGGTTTCACATACTCAATACGTTATTAAGAATAACAGTTAACAATCATTAGATACTGAGTTTCATAAGGACTGTCTTTTGCCTTTCTTTGTATCCCAGGCACCTAGTAGGGTGCTTAATAAATCTTTACTGGTTGACTTTAACAAAACTCTTAAAACCAAGCTTATAAATTTCCTTCCCAGTCAGTTTCTCCTGTTGAAACAGTTGCCTGTTTCTCTTACTGTTACACCGTTTTCTCAGTGGCCCAGACTGCAGGAATCCTTATGGGGCTGACTCCTACTCCCCCACATCTAGCCTCTGAGAAGTCCTATTAAGGCTACCTCTGCAAAGTTTTATCCATAGTGACACAGGATTTAGAGCTGGAAGATTCCTTAAAGATCTTCAGCTCCCTTATTTTACCAATTAACAAATGGAGACAGAGTAAGTGATTGCAGGGTGGGGAATCTCACCAGTTAAGTAGCAAAGCTGAGATTTGAACCCTTTTATCCTTTCTCACTACCACACACGTTCAAAAATCAAATGAGATAATATTTGTAAAGAGCTTAGCACAGTACCGCACATAGTAAGTAGCTCGCTGTTATACAGGTCCTCATTGCTTTACCCATTTTATTGTAATGCTTTTCTGACTCACTTCTAATCTATTTGCCATTGTCAGGTTAAATTTCCTTTCACTGTCTTAAAAGAGCCATTATTTCATTGGTATTGACTATTCCTTCTGACATAGCTCTAGTAGTAATCATAGCTAACATTTATATGGGGCTTTAAAGTTTGCAAAGTGTTTTACATATTTGTTCATCTCATCACAATAACCTTGTGAGGTATAGTTGGTATCCCCATTTTACAGATGAGGAAACAGACTGAGGGACATTAAGTGACTTCACATTGCTCAGAAATCCCTTGCTGAGAAATTTTCAATGGCTTTGAATCTAGCCTTCAGGATAAAGTCCAAATTCCCTAGGCTGGTATTTAAGATGCTTCATCTTTTGGTACCAGCCTATTAGTCTCCAGCACACACCTTATGCTATGCTGTAGCTAAATTGGATTACTTAACACTCCCTGAACACGTACAAGGCTTTCTAGCTTCCATATCACTAATTATGATGCTCTTTCTACTTGGTAACTGAAATACTGTGCTGACCTGTCCTGCCCCTTTGCCATTCTCATTTGCTGAAATCTTACTCCTATCTTTGAAGACCCAGTGCAAACCCTACCTCCTTTAAGAATCCTTCCTTGATCATTCCAAGTCTCTGACTGTCCCCTCTCCCAACTTTGTGCCTCTCTTATGGCATCACCATATTCTATCAGGTGCTGAATTTTAAATTTCTTGGGTGTGGGGAATTGAGCTGTTGTTCCCCCAATGCTGCCCAACTGCCTTTTTAAAAAAGGCCTGTGTTTCTGTTATCTCAGACTTTGGGATAGTTGGATATATCCTCTGCTTTGTCCCTTTACTCTGGACATCAAGAACCTACCAATGACATTTCCGGTTAGCTAGCTTTCTTCTATGCCACTCGGTTCCCTCATTTTCTCATTCTAGCTCCCCTCCCTTATTCATTCTCTGGGGGATGAGGTGATAGAATTAGAAGCATTTTGTTTTCTGGCTGATTCCCCTACCTTGGGCCTTTCAGTTTTGATCTGTGCTAGCTCAGGAGGAAGCTAGGAGCATGCTTAGGGCTATGTCAAGCAAACTTGTATCATGATTCCCAAAAACCCAGATGCCCAAGGCCTGGGTCAGGTATAGGTAATCAGTGGCCTTTTTCTGTTTTGTTGGGTTGAATGAGGAGACTTGATCATTGGATACAATGTGTACTATTAATACTGGTGTTCAGAAAAGGTTAAAACTCAGAAATAGAACAGAACCAGCCCTTCTTTGTAACCCTGTGTCTATATACATGTGTATCTACAGCCTGTGTGGAAAGCGGTTGTAAGACTAGACAATGAGAAGATTTTGACATTTTGTGTGACGGCTACAGTAACCTAATCTGTTTATACAAACAGAATGAGAACAGGTGTGTAACAGGAAGAAATATGTCTGGCTAAAGAAACAGGCATAAAAAGACACCTGTTTCATTTTTCCTTCCTTTTTCTTTCCTTCCTTGTCAAAATCCTGGGAACTACTGAGTGAATTATTGTTTGGGTGGATCTTTGTGAGTTAGAGCAACTGCTGGAGTGCCTAATTTAGATATACAGAGTGCCTTGCTCACAAGTCAGATCTGGCATGACGAGTGATAAGCAGACGGCAGTATCCAATTCAGAACATAACAAATCAGTTTGTATTAAAACTCTGAGACAGCAGGCTCTAGGGTTAAATCAGCTCCTTGCAATTTTCAGCACGTCGAATTAATCTTTTTCCTTATATATCAGCCATTGTTCTCTGCAGCTTGAATTTTATTTTTTTTGGGGGGTGAGATTACCTCACATTTGCATTTTTCTTTTTTAAATCCTTTCTTAATAAAGCAATTTATTGTCCAAAGAGGAAGAGACGTCAGGCTATGAGCATGCTTCAATTTCGAGGCTCAGGCTTCTGAAAGCACCTCTTCCTATTCACTCGCTGGTATGAACTGGAATTAATTTATGTGTATGTATTTTAACTAACATTTTGATTCAAGGGATAGCAAGGATAACAGGCTTGAAGGTACAAGGGAAAGCAAGTGAACAAAAGCTATTTTCAAATCCCTTCTCCTGACTGTCACATATTCCTGCTAGAACACAATGTTGGAAGAAAGGGCTAAACTAAGGATAAAGTTATCTAAAAAAAAAAAAGACTCAGTAAGTGTTACCATATTCATGTACATGCATGTCTGTGTGTATGAAATCATGATTTTAAGAGGACTCAGCTATATTATTTTTGTAACAGTGTTGTTGCTAACAGCTACCAGCAAATTTCTGAAAGGATTGTTCAGCTCTTCCATCTCCATGTCCTAATTCTCTCTCAATGTTCACCTTTAACTTAGCATTCTTGTTAACTCATCCTTTATTCCCTAGACCCCCCGCCAATTCTTCCTCTAACCCCTTGCCCCCACCCCTACGCCATGGAACCTGCTGGGAATCTTGCTGGAACAAGGTTAGATCCCATTCTGCCATGTTTACATGTTCTTCTCTGGGCTGTGCCTTAAGCTGATGTTCTGTATAGATTCGAGAGTCCTTCTCCCTCAAATCAACCATAATGGGCAATGACCAAGGGAGGCAGAGGAAGGTATTTCTTACTGACTGAAACTACAAACCAACAGTCTTGAATACAGAGAATAAGGCCACAATCTGCACCACTGTCACCAAGGAGGTGGCTACCAATGCCTCCACCTCCATCTTTGCTGCTTTGAGACCTCTTTTCCCCCTTCAGGGCTTCTCCTGTTTATTCAATATGCAGTATACATTGTAATATTTTAAACTGAGTTATTTGGGGATGGAATAGGAGGAATTGGGGTGCTTACCCACACTGTATTTAGACTCAGCCTTCCTCTAGTTTGACCCTGTGGATGTAAAATGAATTATGATACTTCCAAAATATGGGACGCAGCCAAATTCCCAGGACAAATAAAAGACATTTGTGATTCTATGATTACCATAGATGAATAACCTCTCTTTCTGTTTTCATGTCTTGACTTTCAGTTCTAAGTTCAACCAAATACAGATACAGTCATACTCATATTTGGAGTCTAGCTTTCCTAAGCCTGTATAGGGCTTCCATTTCTCATTCATATTCTCCCTCAGACAGAGTGCCTCATTTCTTCAGGTTATACACTAAGTACCATTCTTATGAGTACCCAGATACAAATTACTAGGTTCCAGGGAGTCATATACCATCCCATTTCTTCACTCAATTTCATCCTATCACTTATCTCCATTATTTTTATCTCTACTCTTCTTGGTCTCCTGTCCATGTATACATTTCCCCCTCTCTGTTCCTGCCTGGCTTCACAAAAGGTCTATCTCTATCACTCTCAAAACCCTTTATGGTTGTTTTGACTATTAATTCATTTGTTTATTTGCTATATTTCAAGCTCTCTCTTTTGTTACATTATTGAGCCACTATTGATGGTCTTCAAATGATTGTGGAGAACAGGATAGGTGATATAGGGGGGAAAAAAGGC